GTTGAATGAGGGTGTGGGAGGGGTCAGAGGAGGGATATTATTAAAAGCAAGGAGACTTACTGTTAAATCCCAAAATATTGTCTCCAATAAAAGCTAACCGATTAAAATTATATTGACCATCAGTTTTCTGAAGTTTTAAAACCTCATTACGAATTTTTTGGTTATAAATAAAAGGAAGTTTATTATTCTTTTCTCCTATTGAATTTTTTAATAATATATTTTTTGAAATTAAAAAAAAGTCTTTTAATTTAGAAAAATTTATCATTATTTTTTTTTTTTTTTTGTTAATATACTTGGGATTTCTTATAATAACAATAATAACTTTTTATTAAGTGACACAAAAATTACAATTATTTTTACTGTGGTATTAACATTTTGTAATGTCTGCACTTTTTACAAAAAGACTTTCTAAAGAGCTTTTAGGTAAATACGAAGTTTTATTAAGGATATACTTTAAAGCTGACAAAATTATACATGTTAAAAGTATACACATATATTTATATATTATACAAGATTTAAAGATAAATCCACCAGCCGGAATAGAAGTTGTTGACACCGAAACCTTTAAAAGGTAAATTTAATTTTAATGTGAATTAATTATGACCTTTTGCGCGTGTATAAATAAGTGATTAATTAATTAAATACAAAATTGTTAGTTGGAAATTAAACATCGATGGAGTGGACGGAACTCTTTATGCTGGTGAAAGATTCACCCTGGAAGTATATAGATTTTTTATTAATTTGAAACTTTTGTCGACGATAAAATCAATAATATATAATAGAATCGAAAGAAATTAATAAAATATATAATTAATAAATATATAATTAGTTTCGATTTTCTCCAAATTATCCCATGGAATCACCAGAGGTAAAAATAATAAAAATATACACTTATCAATATTAGTATAATTATTAATATTTATTTTTATTTTATACAATATTAGGTTGTATTCACCGGGAATGTACCAATACATCCACATGTTAGTAATCACATAATATCTATATTTTGGAAAAATTATTAATTATTTGAACTAATTCATTAATTATTTTTATATTTAGATTTACAGGTAAAATTAAAATTAATTCATTAAAAAAAATTTATATAATATCAATATATTTAATAAATTCCATTCATACCATGAAAATACCATTGAGTTTGTTTTGGTGATTCTTTTGCGTTCTTTACATAAGTACTATTATCTGGAGGCGGCTCCTACATAATAACAATTTCATATTAATAATAATCTTATTATTATTATTTTTGTTACTGTTCTTAATTAGCGATATTCGTTACCTTTGTTGTACAACTTGATAACATTGATTGTATTGAAAGACATACCGATCTAACACTTAAGACAGGGCTCCATTGATTATATAAAACATTTAAGCATATGTGGCCATTACTGTTATCATTATTATGAA